ATGGACCTCCCCCGGGATCTGAGCTGTGACTGAGGCTACGTCAACCCATCCAGATTGGTTCCTCATCTCCAACAGCAACCAGACGCTGCAGAATAAACTCCCCCTGCTCCTCCCCCTAGATTCAGAGCAGTCCCGGCTCCAGGCTGGGGGTGAGAATAACACGGAGATTGGAGGGGTCCCTTGGACTTACCAATGTAGGCCTTGGTGGTCTCACAGACTTGGTTTTTCTCTGGCGTGCAGGGGCTGCGGGAGTGGAAGCAGAGAGCGCCCACCTGGAACTTGCAGACCCTGCAAATGAGGCCTTGAGCTGCATGGAAAGACAGGCGGTAAGTCAGCGGAGAGTCATGGGGGGCTGGGAGCCAGGACTCCTGGGTTCTTCACCCCTCACTTTGAGCCGTGTTCACCGTCCCCGTGCCAAGAGAGAACTAAGCCAAGGCACTGGAGCGAGCTGTCTGGGTGCTATTTGCCGTTGCTGTTGTTTTCTTTGCTGGATTGGCAAGGTGCGAGGGGGTGGGATGCACTCTGGCATCGAAACCCTGCACGTGGGCACACCCCCCACAGGGTGTGTGTGAGAGACTGGGGGGGGGGCAGGGCAGGCGGAGAACCAGCCTCAGAGAGGCCTGACTCACTCGAGTGACTTACCCAGCCCTGGCGATTGGGACATGTAGGAAGCTACCCAACAGCCAAGAGCTCCTCACGCGGCCATGCGGCTGCTTCTGGGGTGGAGGGCGGAAAGCTACCTGCAATCCCGGTGCGCAGACACAGCCTCCTCTGAGCACGGCTGCAATATTTCCCGCTCCATGGCCGGGGCAGGACCGGATCCTCAAAGGGCTCTTTGTCCCAGGCAGAATGGGGTTAGCCAAGCTGGGAGCCAGCCAGGGACTGGGGCACATGCCCCAAATCCTGCTACCTGAGGTTTCACATGTGATCACACGCAGGGCGTGGATGAAACACCTGAGCCTGAGCATTATCCCATCAGGGGAAAGCAGAATCGCCGAGCAGGACAGCATGCAGCTGGGGAGGAAGTCAGGACTCCTGGGTTCTATCCCCATCCCTGGGAGGGGAGTGGGGGACTAGTGGGTAGAGCAGGGGGGGTTGGGAGCCAGGACTCCTGGGTTCCATCCCCAGGAATTTAAGCTTTCAGTGCAGCCCTGTGCATGCCAGGGAACATACAAGAATGTTAAGAGTCCCTTAAGTGGGTGGAGAACTCCGAGGTTATCCAAGTTTAGCGTTCAAGCGGGGTGTTTCAAGCGCGCCAGCCACAAGAAAGGGCGCAATCTCCACCCACAGGGACACTCGAGCGAGTCAAGAGGGTTTTGAGTCATTCCAAGAGCCCACTCAATGCCCCCACGGCCCTGAAACCAGTCGCGCAGCTCCACAGGGCCCCTCCCGCCCCACATCCACAAAACAGAGCAGTCGCGGCTCTCCCCAGTGCGCGCCCCGGGGCGGATGAGCAAGGCGGTCACCCCACCCTTGTGGGACCAGACCGCTTTCCACCTTACACAAGGGACTGACACCAATTTCAGAGTCTCTGGTTATTAAAAGTTAATTGAAAGGAGTCTCCCGCCCCCCCCCCCCCCCCCCCCCCCTCAAAGGGAAAGCATTTCATACACAACGTGCAAATACACACAGCGGTGAAATGATTTTCTCTCCCCCTCTTTAAACTTGGAGGGGGGAAAAAGCAGTTTCAAGGTTCTCCATCTGGGAAGGGAGCTTAAAGAAAATTCCCCTCGTAATTTCCCCTCTCCTAGAGGAGACAGAAGTCCCCAGTCTGCCCTCAGAACGAAAAAAACAACAAGAAAAGCAACTTCAAGGTCCCCTCTTGAAACTGCGTTTTATTAATGACAGTTTCGAGACCCGCCCCTGCCCCTGGGTGAGCTGGGATTCGCAGGGAGAAGCCAGGTTGGGGGCAGCCTCGCCCCAAAGAGCTGGAAGCACCCGAGCAAATCCCAAATTCTGCACTGGGCAGGGAGACAGGCCAGGGACCCATTTGGCTCAAGACACCCAGCGAGCCGGGAATGGAACCCAGGAGTCCTGGCTCCCAGTCCCCCCTGCTCTAACCCACCACACCCTGCTCCCTTCCCAGAGCTAGGAAGAGAACCCAGGAGTCCTGGCTCCCAGCCCCACCGCAATTTCCACCCTGCGACTCCTGCGGCTCTAACTCAGGATTTACTCAGACAAAAACGCCCTTGACAGACCCGGAGACATTCCCTCCTCCCGTACTCGGGGGGGACACACCCACCCACCCCGAAGCCCCCGGGGGTTTCACGGCAAGCCAAACACCCCCGAGGATCTTCCGCCAGGGTGGGGCTCCCGCTCTCCTGGCCGCTAGCAAAAGTGGAGTCACTCCGGATTCGCACCTGGGTCACGGAGCTCAGAACCCAGCCCCGGCCCCAACCCGAGCCTCCACCCTCACGGCAGATCTTTGGGGCCGCTGGCCCCCCAGGACCCCCCGATACTCACCCAGGGCACTGCACAGCAGCAGGGACAAACCCAGGAGCAGAACTTTGCTCATCCCGGCTCGGTTCAGGGCGGCTCAGGGGAGGCTGAAAGTGACCAAGCGAGGAGGGGAATGAACCAGGCAGGCGAGGCCCCAGCAGGTGGAAAGTGCCACCGCCCAAGTGTTTCCCTGGGGAAACTAAGGCAGGCGGGGCCCATCCTGGGTATTTATCCCTCGGCGGGGCTGGCAGCAGCCAATCAGGGGGCAGGGCCCGGGAGAGGGAGACGCCCAGATGCTGGGAATTGAAAACTAAGACCCAGAGAAAAGGAGGTGATAGGCTGCTCGAGTTCCCGGCCAGCCCCGCCGGTGCCCCCCATTCCCGACCCGCAGCCCCGCTGGTGCCCCTCACTCCCGACCCGCAGCCCCCTGCCCCCCCAGCCCCGCCGGTGCCCCTCACTCCCGACCCGCAGCCCCCTGGGCTCCCCCCCAGCCCCGCCGGTGCCCCTCACTCCCGACCCACACCCCTGGCCCCCCCAGCCCCGCCGGTGCCCACTCCCGACCCGCAGCCCCCTGGGCTCCCCCCCAGCCCCGCCGGTGCCCCTCACTCCCGACCCGCAGCCCCTGCCCTGCCAGCCGGGCCCTGGGCTCTGCTTGAGGAGTGGGAAATGCTGCGTAAGGATTTTGTCTGTTGCCGGCGGCTGCAAACACGCGTGGCCGGTGGCTCGCTCGCAGCTCACAGGGCTGAATTCGGGCTCCGGCTCCTCGCCCACCCCGGGGCTGGGCAGTGACTCGTGTCGCCAGAAGGGGGTTGCAGAGCAGTGACCTTCGAGAACTGCAACATCTGACTCAGAAAACCCAGGGAGGGAACCCAGGAGTCCGGGCTCCCTGCCCCCCCTGCTCTAAACACTGGACCCCACTCCCCTCCCAGAGCTGGGGAGAGAAACCAGGAGTCCTGGCTCCCAGACCCCTCCCCCGTGCTCTAACCACTAGACCCCACTCCCCTCCCAGAGCTGGGGAGAGAACCCAGGAGTCCGGGCTCCCAGCCCCCCTGCTCTAACCACTAGACCCCACTCCCCTCCCAGAGCTGGGGAGAGAACCCAGGAGTCCGGGCTCCCAGACGCCCCCCCCGCTCTAACCACTAGACCCCACTTCCCTCCTAGAGCTGGGGAGAGAACCCAGGAGTCCTGGCTCCCAGACCCCCCCCCCGCTCTAACCACTAGACCCCACTCCCCTCCCAGAGCGGGGGAGAGAACCCAGGCGTCCGGCTCCCCGCTCGGCCCACGGGTCGCTGAGTCACATCAACGCTCTCCCGTCCCACGACACTCATTACGGCTCACGCGGGCCGGGGCGGTTTGTGAAATTTCCCGGGGCTGGTAGGAGGAGGCCTCGGCCCGGCGGGGAGGGAAATCACAAACCAAGGGGCCTGGAGACAAGGGGCAGGGAGGGGGTGGCTCAGTCAGGGAGGGTGGAGAAGTGGCCTCCGGGGCTGGGGGGGGGAGGGAAATGGGGCACAGGGCCTGTCCCCTCTGGGGGGCACCGGCTCCCATCCGGCCCCAGGGCAGGGACTGGTTGGCTCAGGGGGGCGGGGAACTGGACCCAGACTTTGCAACGTTCTGTCCTCTTTGTATGGAGCCGATGTGTGCCTCGGTTTCCCTCTCTCCGTGGCACTGCTGCCCCACGGGGGCGAGAGGGTTGCGGCTGCTCCGGGACCAGGGCCAGAGGCCGGCGGGGCGTGTGCCCCCCTGACTGTCCGGGGTGAGGGGCCGAACCCGGCTCAAATCAGACAAGGAGACGCCCCAGGATCGGCCAATCAGCAGGAAACCTGGCCAGGGACCTGGGAGGTCACAAGGGATTGGGGCGCGGGACAAAGGGGATTTGCCGGGGGGCTGAGGAGCCTGGGCCAGGGGAAAGGGGGGACCCCGGAGAGAGGGGGGCGCACCCAGGAGACGGGGCCAGGCTGGGGCATGGACGGGCCCCGTGACGCCGGCTCCGAGCCGGCCCTGGTGGCAGAAGGCAACACCCCCCCGGTGGGGAGTCGCCCCGTTTCGTTCGGACCCGTCCCCGCCTGGAAGCTGTGGGTCTGACTATCAGTGAGATGTGGCGGGCCCCATTCCCCGCCCCCCTGAGCCAGCCGGTCCCTGCCCTGGGGGCAGATGGGAGCCGGCGCCCCCTAGAGGGGACAGGCCCCTGCCCCATTCCCCGCCCCCCTGAGCCAGCCAGTCCCTGCCATGGGGGCAGATGGGAGCCGGTGCCCCCTAGAGGGGACAGGCCCCTGCCCCATTCCCCGCCCCCCTGAGCCAGCCAGTCCCTGCCCTGGGGGCAGATGGGAGCCGGCGCCCCCTAGAGAGGACAGGCCCCTGCCCCATTCCCTGCCCCCCTGAGCCAGCCGGTCCCTGCCATGGGGGCAGATGGGAGCCGGCGCCCCCTAGAGGGGACAGGCCCCTGCCCCATTCCCTGCCCCCCTGAGCCAGCCGGTCCCTGCCATGGGGGCAGATGGGAGCCGGCGCCCCCCGGCGGGGACAGGTCCCTGCCCCATTCCCCGCCCCGTGCCCCTTCCTACCCCTTCGCGCCTCACCCACTGCGTGGGGCCGATAAGAGCAGAGTAAACTTGGGCGTGTTCAGGGCGAACCCGGTTCCAGACGCGCAGCACCTGGCGCGGGACTGAGGCCACTTCAGGCTCCTGCTTCGCCGGGGACCCAGCGACCGACCCCCCCCCTCCCCGCCCCCCACTGCTCAGGGGGCTGCAGGTGTCCGGCGCCCTCAATCGCCTGCCCCCCGGCGCCATGGGCCGGACCCTGCTCCTCGCGGGCACCTGCCTGCTCTGCTGGGCCACCGGTGCGGGGCCGGGCTGGGGCCGGGGGCGGGAACGGGGCAGGGGCCTGAACCCTCTGGGGGGCGCCTGCTCCCACCAGACCCCAGGGCGGGGGGCTGAGGGGGGAAATTGGGCAGGGGCCTGTCCCCTCTGGGGGGCGCCGGCTCCCACCAGACCCCAGGGCGGGGGGCTGAGGGGCTCAGGGGGGGGAAATGGGGCAGGGGCCTGTCCCCTCTGGGGGCGCCGGCTCCCCCGGCCCCAGGGCGGGGGGCTGAGGGGCTCAGGGGGGCAGGGCGGGTGTCGGGGGGTCTGACGGGGTGTCCATCTCTCCGGGCAGGGGGGGCGCTGCAGTGCCGTGTGTGTGAGGTGGGGAACCCCTACGAGGGCTGCGTGTGGGGCCAGGGGACGTGCACGGCCCCCCCCGGGGGCGTCTGCTGGAGCCACGTCGCCGCCTTCGGTAAGTCCCCACTGGGGGGCGCTGGGCTGGGCCTTGGGGGGCGGGGGGGAGGGGCCAGGCCCCCTGGACGATGCAGGGCCCCTGCCCCACTCTGCCCCCCTCCTTCCTTTCTGCTCCGTCCCCTCCTTCCCCTGCCCCCCCTGCCCCCCGCTTTCCGCCTCGCCCCGTGGCTGGAGGTGTTGAGGTAGCCAGGGCTGGGGGGCAGGAAGGCTGGGGCTCATTGCCGGGGGGCGGGGGGATGGGGGCTGGCGATGTGAGGCCTGGGGGGCAGAGGCCTGGAGGTGTGGGGCAGGGGGAGCTGGGACCAGGGGGTCAGAAGTGGGGGGCTGGAGGTTTTCGGGGGCAGGGGGTTGGAGGTGTGGGGCTGGAGGGCAGGGAGCTGGGGGGCAGGGGGCCAGAGGTGGGGGGCGGAGGGGGCTGGCATCGTTCTGAGTCCACCCCCCCCCGACACAGGCTTGTCTCCCCCCAGGCCCCCTCTTCTCGCTGTCCACCCTGGGCTGCGACCCCCCCGGGGCCCCCCGTGACGCGGCCGGGCTCCTCGACCCCTTCTTCGGCTTCACCTACAACCGCACCTGCTGCAACGAGACCGACCTCTGCAACGCGCCCCCCGCCCTGCCCCCCCGCTGGCCCTGGAGCCGCGCCCCCCACGCCCCCGCGCCCCCCCACGCTGCCCTGCTGGGGACGCTGGTGCTCTGGGCCCTGCACTGAGCCAGAGGCCCCCCGCCCCCCACGACTCCCCCAGCACCCTGCCTTCCCAGGCTCCCCAGGGACCCGACAACGACAAACCGGCCCCCGAGAGACCCTACAATAACAAACGAGCCTCTGAAGCCCCTGAATGACCCGACAACGACAAACCGGCCCCCGAGAGGCCCCCACCAACCCCCCCCCCCCCAACCCCTAAACCCACACACAAATCCCAAGACTACAAAACAAACCGGCCTCTGAAGCCCCTGAATGACCCGACAACGACAAACCGGCCCCCGAGAGGCCCTACAATAACAAACCGGCCTCTGAAGCCCCTGAATGACCCGACAACGACAAACCAGCCCCCGAGAGACCCTGCCATAACACATTGGCCCACTGAGTCTCCAACACCCCCAAGAGAGCCTACAAAAAAACCCTGGCCCCTGTGCAAGCCTAGCACTCAAGAAAGACCCTACGATAACAAACCAACTTGTGAAGACCCAGAGAGGCCCTAGAACAACAAAACAGTCCTAGAGCCCCACGGCTTACGTGGGACCCTACAATAACGAACCAGGCCAGGCCTGTGCTCAAGGACTCTCCCATAACAAGCTGGCCCCGTGCTCAGAAGACCCTACAATAACAAACCGGAATGTCGATGGTCCCGAGAGACCCCCCCAGTAACAAACCGGCTCTGCGGCCTTGGGAGGAGCCTGACCTAAGTAAACAATTGAATGAGCTGACGTGTCTGGTGCTTTGAAAGGCAAACGGAGCCTGGGGCTGGGTGCCAGGACTCCTGGGTTCTATCCCCGGTTCTGTGAGCTGGGGGAAGGGGTGGGAGAGCCCAGGACTGGGCTGGCAGGGGGCTGCGGGTCGGGAGTGAGGGGCTCCGGCAGGGCTGGGGGGGCCCAGGGCTGGGCTGGCAGGGGGCTGCGGGTCAGGAGTGAGGGGCACCGGCAGGGCTGGGGGGGCCCAGGGCTGGGCTGGGGGGGGGGGGGGGGGGGAGTGAGGGGCAGGCAGGGCTGGGGGGGCTGGGCTGGGAGGGGGTGGAGGGGCACCGGCAGAGTTGGGGGCTGGGGGGGGTGAGGGCAGGGCTGGGGGGGCCCAGGGCTGGGCTAGGAGGGGGCTGTGGGTCAGGAGTGAGGGGCACCGGCAGAGCTGGGGGGGCAGGGCTGGGCTAGCAGGGGGCTGCGGGTCGGGAGTGAGAGGCACTGGCAGGGCTGGGGGGGCCCAGGGCTGGGCTGGCAGGGGGCTGCGGGTCGGGAGTGAGGGGCACTGGGGGGGGGGGGGGGGGCTCAGTCCTATTTCCAACACCTCCCTCCCCACCCCTGTTAACTCAGCAGGCTCCTCGCTGCCTCCACCCCCAGCAGGGCGTCCCTGGGGGCGGGGAGGGAAAGGGGGCGTCCCTGGGGGTGGGGAGGGGGGTCTGTGGGATCCCCCAGCTCCATCCCCCAGCGGGGGCCTTGTGGGAATGGGAGGGCGGGGGAATGGACCCTCCCCCTTCAAACCATGTTAAACCCCCACTGGCCAAAGGAGGGCTGGCCCTTTCCCTGCCCCCCCACAGAAGCGTCCCAGCCCCGCTTGGAGTGAACAGTTTCGCAGTTTGACTCTGTAATCATGGAATAAATCCATGGGGCTGGAAACACGGTCCTTACATTTCCGCGTCTAGCCTAAGACCATAAGCGCGGCCAGACTGGGTCAGAGCAAAGGCCCGTCGGGCCCCGTGTCCCATCGGCCGACAGTGGCCAGGGCCGGGTGCCCCAGAGGGAACGGACACAACCGGGGATCACCCAGCGACCCCCGCCCCCCGTCGCCCCTTCCCAGCGCCTGGCCGGATGAACACGGCGTCGTCTGCATGGAACGATAGTTGGGAGAGACTCTGAGTTTGGGCAGGGACCGAGAGCGCGCGACAGAGCCAGAATTTTCCCGGTAGCCAGGTGTCAAACTAGGCGAATAGCGAGAGGAGCTGATGTGCCCCCTGGAAGACTCTGCGTACCCCCCGGGGGGCGCGTACCCCTGCTTGAGGGCCCCCGATCTAGGCATATAAGAAACACAGCAGCTGGCGTGCAAAGGATCCAGCGAGACGGGCGTGAAGCCTAAGGCCGGCAGGCTATTTGGCTGGAAATACCCGGGGATTGAAAGCTATTTGAGTGCTTAAAAATGCAGCTGGGTGCCAGGTTCCCGATCCCCCTAATTCTGATTTCTATGGGGATCGGGCGCCTGGACGCTTTCGAAAAATCCTCCCCTCGGCACCTCTTGGGTTTAATAGCTTTAAAACTCTGCCCCTGAGCCTTTAACGGACCAGAGTCAAGTCAGGCCTCTGCGTTTCTGAGAACGTCTACTGCTCTCGGGCTGGTCTCCCTGGCTTCGGGGCCCCCAGGAGGCTTGGGACACATGAACGAGCTCCCAGTGGACTAGAAGTTGCCCTTTTTCTGAATTCGCGTCCGCTGGGGGGCCAGGTGGGGGGGGGCGTTTCTCCACCCAGGCCCAGGTTTAAGCGATGGTTTTCGATGTTTCCCCGTGTTTCCTCAAGGTTGGCTTGGACCAACCTGAGCCCGACCGGATGGTTTTCTATGTCGCGGGGCAAGGACGCCCCGTCCCCCCCCATGGGGTGGGGCAAGGGCGTCGCGGATCCACGGTTACGTCCGCCTGCCTCGAGGAGTCGGGGATGAGCTGCCAGCTGCTGAGGGCGGCCGGGGGGGGCCCTGCCTCTCCACCGGGTCCCAGCCGGGGCCCTGGCAATGGCGAGTGCGCGCGGCATGGAGTCAGCAGGGAGCCGGCCGACACACGCCAGCCCGAGATCCGGTTCGGCAACCGGTCCCCCGGGCGACTTCCTACCGTAGCCCCCAAGGCTGCCGCCTGGAGGCCTCGGGGTCTCGGCGCTGCCGGCTCCCGTGCTCGGGGGTCCGGGCTGCTCCCGGGCTGGAGCCGGCGCGGGGGGTCCTGCCTCCCCGGCGCTCAGCCCAGACTGAGGCGGGGCCGCCCCCTTTTATACTGCGGCTGGCAGTTGGAGCATGCCCAGCAGGGGCCGGGGGGCGTGGCTTCCGCTGCCAGGCGGGCTGGCTTAACCCCTTCCTGGCCAGAGCGGGGCAAGTCCACAGGCTCCCAGAGAAGAAGCTAGAGACAAGGTGGGTCCCATAAAAGATATTCGCTCGCCCACCTTGTGTCTGGGAGATCCTGGGGCCGACCCGGCTACACCACCCCCGGCCCACGGAGAAGTAGGTGGCCCACGAGGTTCCCTAGAAAGTCGCATCGCGTTAACGAGCCTGGTACGATCAAATCACCACGCTGGCCGCAGCTGTATCAGTACCGAAGGGCATGCGTCCCCTTTCCACTGGTCGAAGTGGCCCACATTCGGGGTTATACGGGTATGACTATTCACGGACGGAAAACACGGCGAATGCAGAGCTCAAGGCGCCGGGTGGGATCGTGGGCCCTGCCCCAACGCCGAGTGGGGCAAAATGCATCCCTCGGAAATGCAGACTGTCCGCCCAAGTGGCACTTAGCAGTAGCCGGCCGGCTGCCTTCCCTGCGTTAGGAGTGGGGAATCAGCAGGGTGGGGATGAGGATCACAGCCCCTCACCTCAACCCCCCAGGTGTGCAATCAAAGGAAAGAGGTTAACCCCCCCCCCCCACTGAAAGTTACAGCGGTCAAACTCCCAGGCGTTCGTGAAAGGAAACGGATCTGGGGCGTAGGCGAGATCTCCCGGGAAGAACTGGGGTTTATTTCCCGTGCAGTAATCGGAGGGGGCTTCACCTCCACGTCGGGTACAGTGGAGATTTTACCATCCCATGGAGGACCCCAAGGACACACGAGAAACCAGCCCCGCCCCGTTCGCGGATTAGCCCCGTTCCACACTGTATGGGCGAGACAAACCCCACAAACGCCCGCCCAGCAGAGGAGACGGAGCCCACGCGGGAACCTCCTGCGCTCGTGTTAGGGACCCCGGCCTGCCCGGGGAGGGACTCGGGACGCCGAGCTGCCGGCCGTGTTACACCCGAAGTCCCCGACCCTGGCTCTCTGGCGAGGAGCCAAAGGGGGGGGTCTCCCGCCCAAGCCGCGGCAGGTGGGAAATTCCCGCTTCGCCCAACGCCTGCTCCTCGTGGGACCTGGGGGAGGAACGAGATCATCTCGGCGGGGGTGTGACCGGGAGGGACAAAGATCTGCCGTGCGTGTGTGTTTGGTGTGTGTGTTAGCTACGGGGGGGGGGTGTTTTACCTACGTCTGTCTTTACACCCTGTGTCTGTCTGTCGGGGGGTGTGTGGGTGTGTTTGGTGTGTGTGAGTGAGTGTGCGAGTGAAAGGGATTGGAGTGTGTGCGATTGTGAGCACGCCTGTCTTTTATCTCTGCGAATACGTCTCCACCCAGCCCCTGGCTCTGTGCCATCTACACACGTCTGTGTGTTGTGAGCTGCGCCCGTCAGGGTCCCGGCGTTTGCTCTACGGCTCCCAGCCCCGCCCGCCCCAGCTGTGTGGGGCAGACAGATCGCACGCAGCCAGACGCAGACTCAGCCGCCAGCCCCGGGACGCTCCCGCCGGCCTCGCTAACCCACTCCGCCGTCCGCCTCGCCAGGAGACAACCATGGGCAAAATTCTCCTCCTGTGTCTGGCCGCTCTGACCTGTGCCGGGATCGGTAAGCTGCGAAACCTGGGGGATCATTGCCCCGTCTCCCCTTGTGGTGTCTTTCTCCTTTCCCTCCTTCCTCAAGAGATCCCCCTTTTGAGTGTAACTTGCTGCCACGCCAGGCCACTTCACTAAGGAGGATTTAAAAGCTCCATCCTCCTTCCTGACTGCAAGAGTTTAATTCCCCAAACTCAGACCATTGGACAAGAAGCAGCCAGAATTAAGGTGATTCTTCCCAATATACCCTTAACTTTGCCCTCCCTTGGCTCAGTGGTGCTCACAGACCACATTCAGGGATCCCAGTGGGTCATGTGAGTGCAGGTCGTGGCAAGCACCATTCTTGTGTGAGCTGGTTAAGATACTCAGTTGTTCTCCCTTCCTATTGACATCTCTCCAGGGGGGATCAGACTTATGTGGGAAATGCCCCCTTAACTCTGCCCTTTCCAGCTTTTCCCACCCTTGAGCTTTGCGGAGTTAAACTCTCCTGTTTGTAAGGGAATTTTTGGAGATTAAGCGCCACTGTTCAGTGAACTTGCCCAAGATACTGCTCCCCCCCCTGCCC